AGAGTGAGACCAAGATCTGAGACTGAGGCAGACACACACACACAGATACACAGAGGCCACTGCACATGTATCTTATATTTTACAAGTTACACTTGGCCTTTGATAGCTTCAAAAACAAATTGGCAAGTGCTTGCTTTCTTTCTGTTCTCTAAGGGAGCTTATGTGATATTGATGTTATTTCTTTTCTAAATGTTGGGAAAAATTCAATAGTAAAGTTTTCTCAGTCTTGACTTATTTTTGTGGAAAGGTTTTAAATGAAGAATTCAAATTTGATAATTAGGTATAGGACTATTCTGATTTTCTATTTCTTCTTGTGTCAGTTTGGCAGGTTATAGTTTGAAAAGCATTTGTCCCATCAGTCTGTGCTTTCAAATCACTGGCATAAAGGTGTTCCTAATGCCTCCTTGTGTTGTTAATGTCTGTAGAATTTGTGATTTCCCCCTTCTGCATTCCTGATGCTGAATAATTTATACTTTCTTTCTCTTTCCTTGATTAATATTCCTAAAAGGCTTATATTTTTATTTTTCTTAAAATGTCAAATACATTTTATCTACTGAATGTTTGCTTTATATATATCATTTATTTCTTCACTCATCTTTATCCTTTCCTTTCGTATACTTTCCTTAGGCTTAATTCACTGTTTTTATCTTCTTGAGATGGATTCTCAGTGTTTGATTTTCAGCCTGTCTTCTTTCTTATCTAATACATAAATTCAACATGGGCTTCCCATTCACCCTCTATTTTCCTCTTATGGCACAGACAGGTTGCTATTAAAAGTATATTTTTGATGTCTCTCTTTCCCACCAGATCCCAAATCTTGGGCTATATTTTCAGTTTTTCTGCTTCTAAACATATAGGCACATATCGGGTACTTGATCCTTGTTTGAGCATTGAAAAAATGAAAAATACACTAAAAAGTGTTATTGCTAGAGTTATTTCATTCTCACTTTTTATTGACAGATTCAGAAATATTTTTTAGTAACACATTGGAAACAAGTGTTTCTGTGTTTTCATTTAACTTTCATTATTACAACAAAGTACTTTATTCACACCCATTATATACGTGGCTTCTGTTATTGGTCAATAGTGCTTTCTGGTGCTTTGAGTTGTATTTTCTAGCTTTGTTATGACTAATAGTGTTTCATAGATGAGGATACAAAACAAAGAATTGATGAAATATTTGACCAAAGTCTTCAACTAGGAAGTATAATAGATTTTAAAATAGATCACAAGCTACTTAATCTTACTCTTGAAATCTTTTTGCCTTTAAGTGACTCTGTTGAGAAGTCTCAGTAACTTAAATCAATTCATGTAAGTAATAGTGAAGGACAGTCCAGTACTGACATCTTTTTTCTGCTTGGTTTACTGTGGACAGTAGAGTCTCATTTTAATAGTAACCATGAGAGCTGTGTGATGAGAGTCTGCCACTGTCATGGATAAGTATCTCCATGTGTACCTACTATCTCATTTAATGATTTCAGGTTCGAAGAACAGGTATTTTTTAACCCCATTCTTCTGGTGAGGATACTGAGCCCCTAAGATGTTAGGTAAGTGGCTGGGGCTGCTTAAACTGGAAGTGGCAGCGCAAGAGGCCACCCCAGCTCTACTGGGGGACTTGGCTATGAGCTCCCCTTGGGTGACATTCTCTTATTCTGCCATTCAGTCCCGAGGGCGCAGACGATATCTTCTATGCTGTACACAGCAGGGGCCACTGTACTTCCTTATGCTGTTCAGATGCTCCTGCAGACTGGAGGCAGTGTGCTATAGCGCTGCCTGTGTTGATAATACTTGAGCAAAGAAGAAGGAGCATAAGTCTCACTGCTTGTTCTGAGGGGTAATCTCCCTGGGGCCGTGGACATCAGGATTTATTCTGCTGCCTCTCTGGCTGGCCTGGGACCTGTCAATAATGAGGTGTTATGGTTTTGACTCCAAGATTTACCTGGATGAATGATGTTCCCCTTCAATGGTTAAAGTAATTTCTTTCCAACAGAGAAGGCTTTAAAAAAAATGGGTAGTGGCTGTTTCTTCCTGAATCATCTCAGCTTTGTAGTGAATCAGACCACCATTCCTAGTGGGAAATCTATACCACAGATGGCTGGAATAGAGCCTCAAAGTTCTCAGCGGCCCTAGTGCAGAGCATGTGTGTTCACTGATGTCCACTGGCCAGCAGACATCTCAGGGGTCCACTGTGTCTCATCGCTCATCAGACTTTGAGGTGCCTAAAAAATAGAGACCATGTGAAGGGATGTTTAATTTTTCCCAAGAGAGAAATGTCATGGGAACTCAGGATGACAGAGTCACTTACCTGCACCAGGAAAACTCAGGATCATCCTAATGTAAAATGTAAGGAGACCGTGCCCAATGGGGAAGACTGCTTCTTGTCCACCGAGGGCGACTTGTTATGCAAGGGTGCTTTTGAAGGATCTTCAAGTCCTTTGCCGTCTTTGCTAAGCCTGCTTATAAGGGCAAGTTACTCTTGTTCCCTTTTTGGAAAAGCATCTTTTCTAAGGTGGGTTATTATTTGTCCAGCTGTACCCTGAGCACTAATCCTTTAACATAAAGAGTGATTAAGATGAGCAGTGAGGATAAAATGGGATTAAGGAATAAGGCTCATGACTTAATTATTAATAGTAAAACTATGAAGGGGATCAATAAGGCTGTGTGTACAATGACAAAAGTAAAAATATTGACACCTCTGCCCAGGTGTCACCTTTTAAAGTAGCTGTTACCTGTTCATGCAGGAGAGAAGTCACCTCCTTTACTGACATGTCACAAATGGTCACTGAAATTTATATGTTTGAGCCCCAGAAATGCAAGTTTCTTAGTTCAAAGGGGGAAAAAAAAATAATGCCTGTGTTCAGCAGAGAGGAAAGAGAGCTTTGCAGAACAAAGCTTTAGAATTTCTCTTTGTTTTTCAATATCTAGTTATACACAAAGAACTTTCTGAGGCCAGAAAAGGCCGCTGTGACCAAAATGTCTTGGAGGAAGTCAGGATTTCAACTGTTTTTCATCTGAGAAAGCAGGACCACATCCTGGCCATGGAGCTCACTGTTCCCTCAACCTGGCAACAGCCTGTGAGCACAGGTGTCCAGATCTCAGTGCAAAGGTGCAGTGAAGCCGACAACACAGTCGTTCTGTGCATCCTCCTAGGGTTGTGAGCAGAGAGTGGGGCACAGAGTGGCTGCCAGAAGTCGGAGGACCCTACACCCTCTTGCATGAGGACTACAACCACTTTTCTTAAGGTCAGAAGTGGTCAGGAAAAGCCTTAACTGAGCCCTGGGCCCTTGGTCTTCTAGACCTGGCTTGATTCCTCTAATTGTCCATGTAATCTTCAGCTTAACTCCCTAAGTCCCATTTTCCTCATTGGTCAGTTGGAGGGGTTTGGACTAGATAATCACTTTTATGACTGTAATATAATGCAGTTCAATGCTTTTTTAAAAATTCACACTTCTCATAATAATAGCAGCCCTTGGAATGTTTAGTGGAAATGAATAAAAAGGCTTTTAAAAATAGGCACTGCTAGGATAGTTTGCAATCATCAAAGCTGTTATAGGCAGAAATGAGACACACAGAAGAAGGGGTTTGGGGTATTTTTCACTTAACAAATAAGAAATCCCTCTTGTTAGCAGTCATAATGTAGTTATTGTCAATCTTATATGATGAAAGATCTAGTTATTATACTGAGAACAAATTATCTACTTTTATGCTTTTAACATGTGACCAGTATAAAAAGACAAAAAGATAGGACACTGAAAGAAGAACTCCCCAGGTCAGTAGGTACCCAATATGCTATTGGAGATCAGTGGAGAAATAACAAAGAATGAAGGGATGGAGTCAAAGCAAAAACAACACCTAGTTGTGGATTTGACTGGTGATCAGCCCTGGGTGTTCGTTGGAAGGACTGATGTTGAAGCTGAAACTGCAGTCCTTTGGCCACTTGCTGCGAAGAGCTGACTCATTTGAAAAGACTCTGATGCTGGGAAAGATTGAGGGCAGGAGGAGAAGGGGACAACAGAGGATGAGATGGTTGGATGGCTTCACTGACTCAATGGACATGAGTTTGGGTGGACTCCGGGAGTTGGTAATGGACAGGGAGGCCTGGCATGCTGCAGTTCATGGGGTCGCAAAGAGCTGGACACGACTGAGTGACTGAACTGAACTGAGAGGAGCAAAGGGCTCCCCAGGTGGTGCTGGTGGTAAAGAACTCGCCTGCCAACGCAGGAGACATAAGAGATGTGGATTCAATCCCTGGGTCGGGAAGATCCCCTGGAGGAGGGCATGGCAACCCACTCCGGTACTCTTACCTGGAGAATCCCATGGACAGAGGAGCCCGGCGGGCTGCAGGCACAAAGAGTCAGACACGACTAAAGCGACTTAGCATGCGCACATACAAAAGAACAAATGTAGAGCTTTGTCATTTCTTACATGTCCATTGGGCATTGAAGCTCACCTGGTGGGCATGGGCTCAATTAAATGCTTGGAAGAATTCCTGTCAGCCCTGGGTTCCCCCACCAGGGATTGAACCTACAGTGAAGATATAAGCTGGGAATTCACAAAAGAAGTTCAGATGATGAACTCACATGGGCCAGTATACTAGTTCACCATGGAATACAAAATTGACAATTCAGGCAAGGAGCAATGACCAGGTTGGTAATACTTTTTGGGTCTGATAATACAGTGGGACAGCCAGGCATTGTTTCAGGTTGAATAGTGAAAGCTGTCTGGCAACAAAACCAAAACCAAAAATCCATAAAAAAACCAAACCAAGGCCAACAAAGCCAAAAAAGAACGTGTGAAGTCCCAACCCCAGTATTTCAGAATTGGACCTTATTTGGAAGTAGGGCATTTACAGAGGCGACCAAGTTAAAATGAGGTCATTTGGGAGTGCTCCAATCCAATGTATGAAAAGAGAAATTTGGGCCCAGAGAGCAAAAACGCACAGAGGAAAGAGGGTATGAAAACACATGAGGAGCAGACGCCCACGTTCAGGAGCTGGGGTTTCACCATGACTTTCCTGTGACTCCGCGGGAGGGTTTCAGGCGAGGCGAGGAGAAGAGTCGGCTCCGGTTAGATTTGGCGTCTTTGTCCAGCTCCCTGGAGAAAGGGCGGGAGGGTCAGGGATGGAGAGCGCGGCGGAGGGCCATGTAGTTCAGGAGGGAGTTGACGTGGCCGAGACTACGGGGTGGCGATCCATGGACATGAGGACGGGGTCCACTCAGCTGTGTGTCTGTAGGGAGAAGACTCCCTCCACTATGGGCATGAGGACGGGGTCCACTCAGCTGTGTGTCTGTAGGGAGAAGACTCCCTCCACTATGGACAGGAGGATGGGGTCCACTCAGCTGTGTGTCTGTAGGGAGAAGACTCCCTCCACTACGGACAGGAGGACGGGGTCCACTCAGCTGTGTGTCTGTAGGGAGAAGACTCCCTCCACTACGGGCATGAGGACGGGGTCCACTCAGCTGTGTGTCTGTAGGGAGAAGACTCCCTCCACTACGGACAGGAGGACGGGGTCCAATCAGGTGTGTGTCTGTAGGGAGAAGACTCCCTCCACTACGGGCATGAGGACGGGGTCCACTCAGCTGTGTGTCTGTAGGGAGAAGACTCCCTCCACTACGGACAGGAGGACGGGGTCCACTCAGCTGTGTGTCTGTAGGGAGAAGACTCCCTCCACTATGGACAGGAGGACGGGGTCCACTCAGGTGTGTGTCTGTAGGGAGAAGACTCCCTCCACTACGGACAGGAGGACGGGGTCCACTCAGCTGTGTGTGTCTGTAGGGAGAAGACTCCCTCCACTATGGACAGGAGGACGGGGTCCACTCAGCTGTGTGTGTCTGTAGGGAGAAGACTCCCTCCACTATGGACAGGAGGACGGGGTCCACTCAGCTGAGTGTCTGTAGGGAGAAGACTCCCTCCACTACAGACAGGAGGACGGGGTCCACTCAGGTGTGTGTCTGTAGGGAGAAGACTCCCTCCACTACGGGCATGAGGACGGGGTCCACTCAGCTGTGTGTCTGTAGGGAGAAGACTCCCTCCACTATGGGCATGAGGACTGGGTCCACTCAGGTGTGTGTCTGTAGGGAGAAGACTCCCTCCACTACGGGCATGAGGACGGGGTCCACTCAGCTGTGTGTCTGTAGGGAGAAGACTCCCTCCACTACGGACAGGAGGACGGGGTCCACTCAGCTGTGTGTCTGTAGGGAGAAGACTCCCTCCACTATGGGCAGGAGGACGGGGTCCACTCAGGTGTGTGTCTGTAGGGAGAAGACTCCCTCCACTACGGGCATGAGGACGGGGTCCACTCAGCTGTGTGTCTGTAGGGAGAAGACTCCCTCCACTACGGACAGGAGGACGGGGTCCACTCAGCTGTGTGTCTGTAGGGAGAAGACTCCCTCCACTATGGGCAGGAGGACGGGGTCCACTCAGCTGTGTGTGTCTGTAGGGAGAAGACTCCCTCCACTATGGACAGGAGGACGGGGTCCACTCAGCTGTGTGTCTGTAGGGAGAAGACTCCCTCCACTACAGACAGGAGGACGGGGTGCACTCAGGTGTGTGTCTGTAGGGAGAAGACTCCCTCCACTACGGGCATGAGGACTGGGTCCACTCAGGTGTGTGTCTGTAGGGAGAAGAATCCTTCCACTATGGGCATGAGGACTGGGTCCACTCAGGTGTGTGTCTGTAGGGAGAAGACTCCCTCCACTATGGGCATGAGGACTGGGTCCACTCAGGTGTGTGTCTGTAGGGAGAAGACTCCCTCCACTATGGGCATGAGGACTGGGTCCACTCAGCTGTGTGTCTGTAGGGAGAAGACTCCCTCCACTCATCCTCATTCTCTATACCAGGTATTTCATGATTTTGTCTCTCTTAATCCAAGCATGGGTGTTTATCACTCTACTGGATAACTCCAAAAACTAATAAGGACCTTAATAACAGGGTTAGATACCCAAGGTCTTTTTTTTTTTCTTTTTACCCCTGCAGAATATGACTTTTTCACATAAAATTAGAATTATAAGGTCAAATATATTTGAAGAAAAGTGAGTTAAGTACTTTGAGAGAGGCATTTTTACTATAGAATTTATAGAACCTTTTATCTTCTGGTGGACCTTGTGTTTAACGAGGAAAGAGTATTTGATTTTTTTTCCCTCAGCCAAGCATCTGCCAGCATGATTGTTCTAAGGAACACAGAATGGGAAATGTCGTTTTGCATCATCTTGGCTTCACGACCATGATCCACCATGATACTTCTGGAATGTGTCTTTCCCTCTGTTGAAGGAAGAATTATTTCAAACCATGGGGAAATATGATGAAGAGTCCAGCCATCCAAATATTGACACTCCAGTGATCAGAGGGTTGTTTTATAACCATGTGAGGTTCCAGGGATCTTCACTTATCAGGGTTCATTGTATGCCCAAGACTTAAAATCAGTAACCTAACTGCAGTTTATGGACTAGAGTCTGTGTCAGGTTGAGCAGGTGGGCGTCCATCCTGTGTTCTCTCTACTCAGCAGTGGGTGAAAACGTAAAGTTTTCAGGATATGCCAACTTGCTAACTCATCTCTTTTCAATGGGATTTTTGATGGGCTGTCAGGAAAGAAGTGTACTGTTCCCTGAGGAACTGAGTGAACCACCTATCTTTCCCTCCTCTTGTTGAAACAAACAATACTTGGTGATCGCAGATATGCGCTGTTGGGGCAAAGAGTGGGAAAGTTAACAAAGATAGATTCCATTAAGACGAACAGAGGCGTTTTTCAACTCCCTCCTACCCCCGCCCCGTTCCAATTCCTCTTTTGCCATTGCATTAATTAGAAATTTAGGTAAATGACATCAGTGCCCCAATTTTTTATATCTGCCAGGAGAACAATTAGACCATTAGAAGTAACAAATGGTTCGAACTCATGTTGCCTGTTGAAAATTTTCAAGCTACATTATTTCTGACAAGAAAAAAACAAATAATAGTTGTTTTGGCCAATTCTTACCACGAGCAGTGTCAGCTCCAGCAGACGCAGCTGAGCTCTAGCTCTCTCCCCGTCGTCACGGCTCATTAGAGTCTGCTGACTCTGGTGGGTTCCCATTCCTTTAGGTAAACAGTTATTTACATGAACTGCGACATTTTTCTTTTGGTGACAATTTCTAATTGTTCAGGCAACCAACGGTGATATATTAAACCTTCAGAAAAAGGCTTCACCTGTGAAACAGATTACTTGAAATTAACTATCCTTTCAAAAGAAAGGCAAAATTTCAAGATGGACAAATTAGAGCCTTCTCAGGCACATATGGTAAGTGTTTCCAGCACATTCCCACTGGTACCCACCCCACTGAACAATTCTTCATGACGGAGTGGAGACTTCCTGGCTCATCTGGGGGTCCTTTCTCTGCCAGCATTTGCCCGCAACATGCTCAGAAGGGGTCTCGCTCGGACTGAGAGTCCAGTTGCTCCCCCAGCATTTGTGGCTTCACTGACTCCATCGACTTGGCTTCTGGAGTTTAACTCTTGCCGAGGCGAGGGTGAAGGTGAGGCTCTCCCTGCAAACCCCCCCATCTCTCAATGCCTTTCCCCATGATTCCTGCCAACTTAAATGGCCATTGAATATCTGTTAAAGCTCATCAATTAGCCACGCCCATGTGTGCCCGGTGCCCGGTAGATTGATGTCCCCAGCCGTAAGCAGGGACAGGAAGGGTCAGGTGAAATTAATCACCAGCATGTAAGCCTGGGATGTTTGCGCTGCTTGGGGTCCTGGGTTCAGCGTACTGAGCGTAGCATGTTAAAAACCAAGGTTAAATCCCTGCTGGTTTAGGTTGAATAGTGTCCCCCCCCTGCCAAATTTCATGTCCTTCCTGGAGCCTCAGGATGTGACCTTCCTTATTTGGTAAGAGTGGTTTTTCTTCTTAATTTTTAAAATCTTTTTTTGGCCATACCATGTGGCTTGTAGGACCTTATAGAAACTGTACCCTGGGCAGTGGGAACACCAACTCCTAACCATTGGATAGCCAGGGAAGTCCTAATAGTGTCATTCCTGATGCAACTAGTTAAGATGAGATCATATGAATCAGAAAGGGCCCAATATCAATATGGTCCGTGTCAGACACACAGAGAGGCAGACAGGAGAAACATCCAAAGAGGTGGATGCCGAGACGGGAGTGATGTGTCCACAAGCCAAGGAATCCAGGGACAAGGCATGGAACCTATTCTCCTCCTGAGCCTCCGGAAGGGACCGAGCCTGCCAATAAATACCTGGATCTCAGACTTCTGACTTCCGGAGCTGTACAAGAGTCAATTTCTTGTTTTACTCCACTCAGCTTGTGGCACTTTGTTATGACTGCGCTAGGAAATCAACACACAGGCTTTAAACGAGGCCTCCAGCAGTGAGCGGGTTCATTCAGGCATGTGCTGTACAAGATCATAACTTCCTTGGATTTTCAGTGCCTCCAAATCCATCTTTCCCCAGGTGTCACTGTTAATATCCTTCTGTGTAGCATCATTTAAGTGAATTTTTAAAAGTCCCGCACAGAGCAAACATTTAAAACATGCAAGTTTTTCTTTTCTTTAAGAAAATAAAAAGTGAAGTATGCTTTTAATGTAGTTGGGACAATTAAATGAGCACCAGTTTTCTGTTCCTCTATGAGAAACACCAGCGAATCAAGTGATGAGTGGAAAAGGATGTGGTTTTCAACATGCATTCCTGCTTCCCTTTGACACTGTCTGGCAAAACCTCAATCACCTTCCACTTGCCTCTTTCCTGCATCATCGATGAACCAGGAGGAGGCCTGCCCTGGGTGTGGGGGCTGCTGGGGTCTTCTGCTGTCTCTGCTGATTAACACCCATCTTATGCCAGATCCTCACTCATTTTGCATGGAGTGGAAAAGCAGTATGTATAACTGTGTAGCTTCCCAGCTTACCTCTTACGTGCAGCAGCTGAGACTCTCCCTGTGAGTAGGTGAGTCTTTCTGTCTCTGCCCAGTTCATGTAAGAGTGAGAACTAGGTGATGAGGGCATTCCAATGCTGAACCTGCAGATGCTTCCACAACAAGAGGTTCACTTCGAGTTCTCTGACATCCTAGAGAGGAGATTTTGATGGGTTGGAGAGCTCAAGTAAGTTTCTCATGACCACATAGCCAAGAAGTAATGGAGCTGAGATCTGAACCTAGATTTTCCTTAACTCAGGTTCCAAACTTATGAGAATGATCTTGTGATCTCATAGTATTCATTGTATGCAAGAGTGAATCATCCGGAAGCAATCTATTCGTATCTCACATTCAGAGGACACAGGGAAAAACACACATGTTTATCCCAATGGATGCAGACAAGCTATTTGATAAAAGTTAACATTTGACCTTGGTAATGTCAGCAGGGAGAAAGAGGAGGGCCCTTGAGCATGGAAGCATCAATGTCGTTCATCAACGTGGTCAGAAGATCACCAGCCTCTCCCACCAGGTCTATTCAACATCGTACCTCCTGCTGTCAGGAATGACTGAGGGTGACCACCAGGATGTCTATGGGAAAAGGTTACTTTGTAACTTTTACTAACACGAAATAAAGTCAACTCCTAATTACTGGAATAGAGGAGATAAATTAGCACTGTTTCCACTTGACAGATGGACTATTTGTGAACCTTAAAGGGCATGACTGAAAACTAGGAAGAAAATTTTATCCAATTTTAGTTAATATTTAAAACATTTTAACAAAAATTTAATTTTAAGCTAGTCAGTAGGTTTTTATTGACCACAAAACAATCAAAAACATATAAACTGTATATTCCCGGCCAAAGATATTATCTGCAATAGCAACAGAAATATAAGATGTCTGCATAAAATTACAAAATGTCCTAGAGAAGTATTAAAAATTATACAAGTTTGCCAAGGGACAGAAAAAAACCTTAAATGAACATAAAGAATAATGTTCCCGTAAGAGAAGATTTAGTAGTGCAGATGTCAACTTTCGCCTAATTCATCTCCAAGTTCAATGAATATCCAATTCTAGTCCCAGTGGGGTTTGGGTGGAACTTAACAAAATGTTGTTAAAGTTCATCTGGAAAAATAAATGGCTGAGAAGAGCCAAGGAAATTTTGAAAAATAAGAATAATGAGCGAGGCCTTGACCTACTAGATATTAAAATACTAGAGTGATTAGAACAATGTGCTCTTGGTGCAGGGATAAATGGATCGATAGGACAGAAAAGAAATTTCAGAAAGAGACATCAATAATTCACGTGTAACAAAGATGACATTTTAGGGCAGCAAGAAAAGGATAGATTATTCAGTAAATAGTTTGGAGCAAATAGGATATGGAATAGGAAAGTCAAATCCCTACTTTATAATTAGGCTAAAAATAAGTACCAGAAAGATGAGTATTTTAAGCTTTAGGAATGGATCTATATTAGAACCAAAAAAAAATTCCATGTAAAAGTTTATCTAATTTTTCTGTGGCAAAGGCTTTTGCAAGTGTGGAATCAAATGGAAAAACCAAGAAAGGACTGAAGATGAATCTGAATTTATAAAAACATATTTACAAGTGAAAAAAAGACAATGCCAAAAAATCATGAAGCAGTTTTGCAACTTACATTGCAGTTCAAGTGCTAATATCTCTAATATATGAGGGGCTCTTCAAATTACTGAGGAATAAACCAGAAACCCCCGCTGTTAGGAAGTTATCACTGTACACACAGGACACTCCCTGTGGGTCTGTCTTTGTCTCGCTTGCTCATTCTCTTTCTGTCTTTCTCTGTCTCTTTATCATCTACACCACACATGCGTGTGCGCGCGCGCACACACACACACACACACACACACACAAGTATTTTCAGTCTGGTACGATTAAAATAGCAGAAACAAAATAAAAGTGTCCAGCAGACTCAATGTGTCCAGCACTAGGAGTCTAGTTATATAAATTATGGCATATGTATATGGTAGGGTAATGTATAGCCAGGAAGAAAGATATGGTTTGTGATTATTTTGGAAAATCTCTAATCCATGCTGTAACATATGAAGGCAAGGTAAGAGACTCTGTGTGTGTGGTGTGGGTGTGAGTGTAGGGTTGTGTGATAGGAATCAAAGAACACTGTTTTCAGTGACTGTATTTGAGGAGATGAACTAAGGTTGTTACAGAGATAGAAAGGAGGCATATGGTTGAGCTTTCTAATCTTGTCCATGCATTTTTTAAAGTTCAATGGACATTATTGAAACGAGTTTATAAACAAGTTTAGTTTTCTTCCACTTCTCTCTGGTTCTAAAAACCAGCAAAAATGGATAAAAATTAAATTAAGAAAAAATTATGGAAAGAAAAACATGCAGGAGATTTTTAACGGGTAATTAAATGAAAGGGAAGAAATATAAACGGGCAATAAGCATAAAATCTTTAAACTTTGTGACCCCATGGACTGTAGCCCACCAGTCTCCTCAGTCCATGGAACTTCCCAGGCAAGATTACTGGAGTGGGTTGCCATTTCCTTCTCCAGAGGATCTTCCCAACCCAGGGATCGAACTCCCGGGTCTCAGACGCTTTACCCCTCTGAGCCACCATGGAGCCCAGTAATTAAATACAAATAAAAATGAAATATTGTTTGATATAAAATTGCTTATATAAATTTTTAGTTACAAAAATATTTTGATGATAATACACGATGTTGGGAGCATACTGAGAAATGGGCACAGTTAAAAGTAAAGTATACAGCAAAGCCTGTCTGGTTAAAGATTTCACAGTATTTTAAGTTCCACCTTAAGTTTCATCCTGTAGAAATAATCATGGACGTTAATAAAGACTTGGCTTCAGAGATTTTTACTGCAGTGTTTTGGTGATTGGAAAAAAAAGAGCGTAATCAGCTGTATATTCACGGTACATTCATACCATGAAATACTAGGCAACCATTCAAAATCGTTGTGGAAAACAATTTGGTATAAGTTATTTAGTGTAAAATGCAGACAATAAAACAGTCCAAATGGTTTGAGCCAAAATTTAATCTAAAAAGTGTGAATTCTCACGGCAAAATCTATCTAGGAAATGCACCAAAATATTGAAATGGATGTTCCTAGATCATGGGATTGTGATGGATTTTGACTTTTCTTCCTCTACTTGCCCATCCGTAAATCCCTGCCATCTATATTCTCCAGCCAGTTGCAGAGAATGGCCATCTCATTCATCTTTTGAGCCGAACTTGTTTGAACACCCACTGTGTGCAGTGCTTCACGCAGCTCCTGCAGGGAGTTCACGGTCCCGTGAAGACAGACTCACTGGAAGGATAAAAGGCACCTGCCGACTCCCACGGAAGACGAAAGCGCGGGGGCTGTCCTGAGAAAGACGTTCCTGGAGTCTCCCGAGTTCCCGTCTAAATCTCCGGGATGACCTCTAACGCTTTCAGATGCAAATCCCACCGGGCAGTGAAGTCTACGTGATTTCTCTCCCCACCCTCAGCCCATTCTGGAAGAAGGTGCCACGGGATCTTACCTTATCTCAGCTTGAGGAGCAAGGCGCTCCTCAGCGGAGGGCTGGACAGCAGTTGGGAGGGCCACATGGCCGGGCTTGGCTGCCCTCCTGGGTGGGGCTGGGGAGAGTCCCAGGTGTGAGGTCAGAGCCAGCACCATGATGCAGTCAGGGCCATTCTCCAGGCCGTCGGTAGTACTTTCATTATTTCCAGATTCCTCTGAAAGGCAGCCAAGGTCTGTCCAGATCTGCAGAGAATACTGACACAGGTGGGGGCTGTGTCCCCACCCCCGGCTGCCCAGCTCGGCGCCTGGCACGCCTGGATGCTCCATGGAGATCTCGGAATGTGGACTGAAAGAGCCGTCCCTCTGAGACCGCCCTCCACGGGCGCATCTCCTCCAGGGTAAGCTGTTCCCCCGCGCCCCTCTCTTCACTGGCGGTGTGCGGTGTCCAGGATGGGCCGTCACCCCTGCGTCCTTTATGGCTCCGTACTTACTGCTGCTCCATGAGTCCCAGTGACTTCCTCCCTCGACTGGACCTACTCTAGGCTTTTGTGTATCTGCGTGCGTCTGTGTCCCATTCACCTGCGTGTAAACACAACTACACGGCAAGGCGATGTTCCCTGAAACGCCACACTCTTTCTCCAAACACACGTGCTATGGGCACACACACACAGCAACAGACACAGACACACATACACACACGCAGAGACACATAGACACACCCACAGATGCACACAGACACACACAGACCCACAGACACAGGCACACAAATAGACACACAGAGACACGCGCGCACACACACCACACACACACACACAGTCCTTTAATTATTTCACAGCTCTAGAGTCCGTAAAACACACACCCAGTAAAATAGTTTGTTGCAAGACTGGTAGCAGGTGCAGGGAGCAGCCGGCCTATAGCAGCCTCACCCCTCTTCCCATTGGAGGGTCCTTTGAGGTCCAAACCAGATGGGAGGCCTCACGGTGCACCTAGCCCTTGGAGACCGGTCAGCCTGGCTCTCCAGTAGGAAAGCTGGAACATTTGGCAGCTTTGGTCCCAACTGTCTAGGCTTTCCCTGGAATTTGACTGCATCAAAGGCTCTAAGCAAGGCACTTGGAGAATGTGGCTCTAACATCTCAGAGCTGGTCAGCTTCCCCATCGAGTCTCCTCCTGCTGAATAATTGTGACCAGTTATAGTTTTTATTCTGTTGTTAATTTCATGCCTTATGCTAAGTCCATATTGAGTACTTAATCTTGTTAAGAAACATCCACAAAATATTTATTACTGGGAGATTTAATTCATAGGTAATTGCATCCTACTTTTTTTTCCTAAAAAACTTTTATTTTATGCCTTTTTGTGGAATAATTAAAAACATCATTTTCGTTTTGATCTTTGGGGGATTAAAACTATATTTAATCATGCTATGTTTTTTTTATTATTATTTTTGTTCCTGTGTTATAGCAAATGTGCAGTGGTTTTTATCTCCTCTTTGTACTTGCAATAACATATTATTTGACCATGAATCACTTTAATGGATTGAAACATAAGCATGTGAATTGAAAAATAGATACATTAGTCAAATCAATAAATAAATATGAAAATATATTTCTACGATGAAAAACCATCTTGGCTACTGTGTCCTCCAACTTGGACAGAGAGAGCTGAAATATATGGCCGTAAAATATAGCTTGCCATGTCAACTAGCCAGTGCCTGCAGCCTAAAAGGAATTTTGAGCACTGGGTAAGTAGTATTTCATCAACAAAATCATAAAATAAAGACATTAAAATGAAGGGATGATGGAGTGCCACAGGACGTTTGTAAAATCACCCTTCAGTCTGAGGCTGGAGTAGTTTAGTATTAGACATCTCATGCTTTCATATAAATTTGCTTACCAATAGCATGTAAAGCAAGCAGTGTTACCAGGCTGGCCCTGTAGCAAATATATTTCTACTATTTTTGCTGGACAAACTTTGCTTGCACTCAATGGTCCAGCTGGGGTAGAAATAAATAATTCATCTCTGGTCTAAAAAAGTGTGACTATGACAATCTTCACCCAGAGTATTTGCCTTTGCTAATTAATGACTTAGCAGCATTCCTTTAGCTGTTCAAAAGCTAGCTACCCCGTTTTATAGACTCCTTCCTGTGCGCTGTCTTTATTGGATGAAATCCCCTATTACTCATAATCAATGTTCAATCTCTAATTTCATAAGATAATAAAATGGGCTGCAAGGATTATTAGTAGCTACATTGTGTAACTTATCAGTTATTTGTCAGATGAATGTCGGAATATAATTAACATGCATTATTTTAACGAATACAACTGAGATATAAGGATTTTAAGTGACTTGCCTTTCTCAGAAACTAGGCACAAAATACAGTAAGGAGATCTGTATTTGCATTTATTTACATAACGACATGCTTTTTTTTTTCCTGTTGCACTTAGTATTAGTTAATATCTTTCAACTGCAAATTGCTGCAATTTGTTGTTTGATTGTATTTTTATACACATTAATGAGATCAAGCAGCATTAATTAAAATTTGTAGGTTCTATTGGATGGGGGCTAAAATTGGATGGATGAGTTGTATAGCTGTGAGATCAGGTAGAAACATTCTAGATTCAGAGCTGGAAGGTCTTCTAGTGTTTTTGTCATCTATGCCATTTCCAAGACTCCCTCAAAGAGAAAAGGGAGTTTTCTCTGCTTCTCGCAGGCCCCACCTCTGGACCTCTGTGTCCTACCTTGGCCGGTGATGAAAATTATGTGGCAGAACTGAGCACTGTAGGATGTGAATGTAAGGGATAAACTTTTTAGCTTTTACTCCTCTCTCTAGTTTAAAGCACTGGACTCTTTTTTTTCCTTCTCTGTTGTTATTCTTCAGTTGCCAAATCAAGTCATGTCTGGTTCTTTGCAACCCCACGGACTGTAGCACACCAGGCAGCTCTGTCTGTCACCATCTCCTGGAGTTTGCCCAAGTTCATGTCCATTGAATCAGTGATGCTATCCAACCATCTCATCCTTTGTCGCCCTCTTCTCCTTCTGCCTTCCATCTTCCCCAGCATCAGGGTCTTTGCCAATGAATTGGCTTTTTGCTGCTCTGGGTCTATCCAAACTGCTATTGATAGTCAGCCTGGGAACCAAGCAAGACTCCCAGCTCAGATTTTGATTTATAATTTAGAATTTATCTTTTCTTCTCCCACAAGGATGGTGACCTATCCCAGGAGCTGGTCTCTGCAAAGCAGAGGCTGGGAGTCAGAGCTCACGTGGCATTTGAGGTGTCCAGCCTGGCCCTCCGTGGGCTGCTTGGGAGACAAGTCTGCTCCCCGAGAGGGAGCTGAACCATGGGAACTCTGAGACGGGATGCAGGTAGGAAGCCTGGGGCCCCGCTGGAAGCTTCAGCGGGCACCCCTTTTGCATTATGTCATCTGGCCTCTGGGAGCGTGGCTCTGGGAACCCACCAGGGAACCATACAGTCCTGTCATCACACACTGTCCATTTTAGCAACTGGAGCGAGGGCAGAGCCCCTGAAGCAGGAGGCAGACTGGCTCTGCTCTCCTTCCCTGTCCCAAATCATCCCTGCCCCAGCAGAGGCAGGAACCCACGGGGCACTCACAGCCATCTGGCAGCCAGCAGAGGGAAGGAACACCTTTGGAGGGGCTGGGCACATCTTACTGCCAAAGATCCAACTGTGCCAGTTTCAACGTGTACTTTGTATGAGACATTTCATTTAGGGCGACTGGTATGACACAGCTCGCTTTACCCCCTGCCCCCGCTTTTGCTTGCGTGCATTCTCTGGTTTATTCTCTGTCCAGTTGGTTTCGGTTACACTGTGGCCCACCCACATGCATGGTGCCAAGATGGGTGAATACAAGTCAGGAACAATTGAGGGCAATTGCGGTGACACCTCTGTGGACCATCTGCAAATGCCAGGGATGTGCTTGTGGAATATGCTAGCCCATGATTTTGCAATCTGTAGTTCAAACTTCTTTCTTTTCAATTGTTTTTTTTGCGGGGGCATGGGGGGGCAGAGTATACAGAAACTCATTGAAATAAAAATTATTTTTCAATCACAGATATGTTGGTGCTGTTTAAATGCCATATGGGGAATACTGTATGCACATAAACATTTAAAATAATGCCAGTAAAAATTATAGTGACTCATTGTGCAGACCACCCTGGGCTAGCCAGCTTCAGCTGATTTTGAGCACAGCGCTGTTTCTAGGTCAACATCAGGTTTATTTAATGTATCGACCTCAACATACTTTTGTCATTAAAGTTACTAATAAATGTGATTTAATTTTTCATGCAATAAATTGTTTATTGTCCTGATGCTGTGTGCTTGGAGGAAATCTCAGGGTCATTTCTTATACAAAGCACCTTCCATTTACAGAAACGCCAGGCTTATGGCTACAGCTGTATTTCTTGTGTCTGAGTCCTCATTCCCTGAGTGTGAAAACTTTATTGCTCATTATCTACTGGGCTGTGATGAAGTGACAGATGATTTATTGGGAGCCAAAAACTGTGTTTCAACGGCGAACATTTTTATCCTTTTGTGCTACGGTCCTGCCGGCCTCCTCTAACTGCCGAGGCACAAATAAACGCAGCTCCGGGCTGGAGGGGCTGGCGGGCTCCCTCATAAAGGCCCACATTTCAGATCGCACTCTGTTCCTAATTTGATTCAATTCCCCTTTGTTGCTTAAAAATTCAATTTGTTTAATTGAGCTGTTTGACAGTAAAATCTGAATTCCATGCATTTTAACCATTCATATTAAATTTCCCTCTGTATGGTACTTTTATTAATGTGCTTTACAGGCGGAGGCTTAATTTAAATTTGGTGACCTCACAAGCTTATAAAAAGATCTGAATTCTTTTTTTGCCTCTCAAACCTAAATTAAAATGAATCAATGCAAACCAAAGGTACAGTTGTGCTTCTTGGGCTGCATTTAATGAGTCAGAGAGAGAAAAATGCTGAGGTATGGGAGTGTGGAGGGTGAAGGGGTGTGTGTGCCTCTTTTATATGCGTATTTTCATATTTTAATAGATGACATAATATTGTGGCAGAAATGAAAGTTTAAATGACCTGCCTTTAACGGTTAAAAAAGCAACTCTCTGTTCTCCATTAAAAAGGTAGGTAAAGCATTGTAGGATGGCTTATACATTGTCTACTTTTTACAGGGTTACACATTTATTGACATTTAAAGAGCTGAACATCTTTTCCTTTAGGATTAATAAGATATCCAGAAACCAACATAAGATTTTTAAGGTTTACTAAACTTTAATCTGTAAAATTTAATAGCAATATCCGAGTCGTTATGTGTATGTAGAATGCCGTGTGCCTTTACAAACACTTTTGAGCAATGAATTATGTTACAAGAATGGGTTGGCTGTGTATCATTATGTCCAGGTAAATGCCAGAATGATGACATAATTGGTAGTTGGGAGTAAAATACAACCCCTGTAAAATGTTACTAAGGTAAATGTGGAAGGCTTGTAATTCATTATACATAAACATGACTTCTAGGTATTTATCATTTTGTGAAATATAGGCTAACTTGATCTCACCAGGCATTGTGTTTCTCCCTTCTTTGTTATTTCATTTAGATTGTGACCGTGTTCTGCTTCAAGATCTCTAATTCCTTTTTATTCCACCCTTTTC